AAAAAGAAGGGGAAGAAGAGGGATTGGGAGGGTGAGTGTGAGGATGAGGATAATAAAGTAATTTTATATATTTTTAATTAAAATATATATATATTAATCTATATGGCACTTTTATTTATTTATATAATATAAATATAATATATATTAGTGCCACATCATCAAAAAAATTAAAAAACAATGCCACATAAAATTATTTAACTGCCACCTCATACTTAACTGACGGAGGGACCAAAACTGTGCAATTTTTAGAGTTAAGGGATCAAAAAAGTACAAAAAATTGTTGAGGGATAAAAAATGTTCATTTCTTAAAGTTGAGGGACCAAATTAAGCATTTAACCAATACAAATGCACCTGCCCCTTGAGGCCCAGTGACATTAGCTACCGGTGCATTCCCCCGGAGGGTTTGAAACCCGCCCCTTGCAAAATATGTTAAAAAAAAAAATCAAGTACAAATATAGGCCAATACCCGACCCATACCCATACATACTCACCCCTAGTGACAAGTCAGCTTTGCCCATACAAAGAGGACCGTTAAAAGCGCCAAAACGATAGAAAAAGCTGAAAGCTGAGCCCAAAATGCGCGAAAAGTTTAACCAGTCTTGGACCTTTTGAAAAGTGCCGAAAATGACATAAAACCCAGTTAAGTGGACACTGCTTAAGGCTTTTTTTGGAAGTTAACAGGAGTGGGCTTTTATATTTTATGGTTGATATATATATATATATATAGGCACTATTTTCATCTATGTATATATATTTTGTATTTCTTCTAAAAAAATTTATTCTTCCAACTGCAATCTCAAAAAATTTATTCTTCCAACTGCAATCTCAAAATTTTTTTTTCTGTTTTATTAAAGATTTATAGTCTTTTATTTTCTCGCGAACTTTCTATATGCATAAGGATGATTAAATGAATAAAGATATCAATGATCATGTTAGGGTTAATGTCAACTATCATCCTTATGCTATTAAAAAAGGTTCAATTTAAACCTTATACTATCAATTCACTTCATGTCCTCCCTCTACTTTTATTTAACTTCCCATGTACTCTCTCTACAATTTAAAAACATAATAATGTCGTCCCTCTGTCGATTTTAGGCCTAATGGACTGTCTATTGACTTTTTTTTTTTTTTTTTTTTT